CTCAGTGGAGACAATAATAGTACCTATGTCATAGGTGATGTGCAGACTGAAAGAAATAAGGTGTCAGGCTTGCCTAGAATAAGGTCTTGCATACAGCAACTGCTCAATAGATGCTATCATGCAGTCCTTTTGGGGCCATAATGAATCAGCTTTGTCTTCCTTCCCTCCAGCTGGTCCAGAGTTCCTTCCCCATCATGGAAACCCAGCCTAGAGGGTAAGCACCTTGTGAGCTCTGCCCACCCTAAACTTGCCTGGATTGCAGCTCCCTAACCTCCATCCTTTTCTTCCCTCCTTCCTTTCCTCTCTATCTTCCTTTCCAAAGACAGCAAAGGCCGCTTTTGCTCTGGATAAACCCACCACAAGTTCTCCAGACCTGGACCACCCAGTGAGAGGCAGGATGGCTGGCTGTCAGTGACAATCCCAATCTGAATTAATTAAAAGCAAAGTTTCAGTTTCTCAGCCCCAGCTGGTCACACCTGGCTACCATCTTGGACAGTGTAACAATGTAACATCCTTGTGGAAGGTTTTATCAGAGACAGAATCCCTTTCTTCCCAGCTCCAAAGGAGTTTCTCTGAATAGACCACACCCTCTTCTGTGTCTTTCCTGTGAAATTAGTTGCACTAGCTAAATTGCAACAAAATAGAACAAAAAATTCCCTGTGACCTAGTTTCCCCATCTACAAAATTGCCATAGTAATACCAACTCCTACCCCCTCCCATAGTTAGATGAAAGGGACCTAAAATTTTCCTGAAAGGTTTTAAGCCTTCTGTAAATGTTAGCTTCTATTGTTTTGTTACATACTTTTGTAACATTGAAACTCAACTCTTTTTAAATCTGTATGTGCTAATGATGAATGATCCACAATAAACTAAGCAGGACAAAATAGTGACCCAAATCATCCTGTAAGATCTCATTTGTGTATTTAAAAAGTACTATATGTTTTCTTTGAGCACAATCTATATTGGGTTTTCTCACCCAGTGGTCATCCCCTCCCCCACCCCTAGTGGATATTTGACACTGCCTGTCCCATGGTCTGAATGATTGTGTGCTCCAGGACTCATGTTAAAATTCTCACCCCCCCCAAAGTTATGGTCCTGGGAGGTTAGGTTATGAAGCTTCCCCATCATGAATGAAATTAGTGTGCCCTTATAACAGAGACCTAGAGAGACCCTTGCCCCTTCCACCAGGTGAAGACACAGAAGAAGCCATCCATAAGGAACAGTTCCTCACCAGATCCCAAATCTGCTGGTGGCTTGATCTTGGACTCCCAACCTTGGAGCTGTGGGAAATAAACTCAGTTGTTTATAAGTCAGCCAGTTAATGATATTTTATTACAGCAATCCAAACAAAGATTGACTGGAAATATTTCTGGTTGTTCAAACTAGGAGTGAGGGAGGGAGGAAAGTAGAATCCAGGGATGCTGCTCAGCATCCTGGATGGCCTTTCACAACCAAAAATTATGAGTTAGAGTGTCGAGCAGGCAAAACCTTGGTCTATGTATTTGTAAGAGTTCTGCCCACGTTGACAAGTTCAGGGCATGCATGAGATGAGGATGGGTCAGAGGAGGTTATCAAAACCTTGTTAGTTAAAGCTGTCACTCCCATCCTGTTCTCTCTTCTCCTCTCCTGTCCCTCTTCCCCCCTTCTCTCTCTCTCTCTCTCTCTCTCTTTCTCTCTGTCTCCTTTCTCCCTCTTTCTCCCTCTCTCCCTCGTCTCCCTCCCTTATCTCCTTCCCCACCTTTCCCTCTTTCTCCTCTTTCCTTTCCCTCCCATTCCCACCAGAGGATGTGTTTCTGTATCCTTTGCGTCATTTAAATTTTACTTTTTAAAAAAATAAACAAAATAGTAGCAAATGCATTCAAAACAACCAGAGAAACAGAACCTTCCCTTGACCTTACCCATCCTTCCCAACTATCTCCCTCTGTCCCATCCCCTTCTCAGAGGGCTCCCTGAGTGTCCTCCCACTTCTCTGCCCTTTCTCACCTCTCCCTACCACAATCTGTCTGGCCCTGTTGGGCCAGCTCCTCCTCTGGCCCCCCAGTGTCATCTGGGTTGTTGCTAAATCCAATGGCCCTTTTGTTTTGTTTTGGTTTATTGTCCTTAGCCTGCTTTTGAGACCCAAGTCTCAAAAGCTTCCTTCCACTCTTCTTCCTCCTCTTTCTCTGGTTGCTGCTAGGGGTTGTCCAGGGTTCCCTTCCCTCTTCTTATCTCTCAAATGTCACCCTTTGCTTTGTCTCAGGCTCTGCCCCTCATGTAGAACTGGCTATGTACTTTGTGGGGTTGAGTGAGAATGACAAAATATGGACCTTGTTCAAAATAATAGGACTTTCAGGTGGGTGATAGCTGAGTATTAACCCAAGCAGCAGTCCCTTCTGAGCATAGGGCTCTGGATAGCCTCACAGGTGAACATCCATGAACTTGGTCCTGCTCCAGACCCACCCTCTCCTCCTGGAATGACTTCTGAGGGCATTGCAGTAAGCAGAATGCCCCCACCAAAGACATCCTTGTGCTGATTCCTGAAACTTGTTTACACATTACCTCTCATGGCGAGGATTTGCAGGTACCATTCCAGTTGTGCACCTCCATGTGTCCACTTGACTACTTTCTAGTATCCAGTGCCTCAATTAAATGCTAGGCTAGCCAGGTATGGTGGCAAACACCTGTAATCCCAGCTATTTGGGAGGTGGAGGCAGGAGGATCATAGGTTTGAGGCCAACCTAGAGCAAAGTTAGTGAGATGCTGTCTCAAAAACAAAAGGCTATGGGCTGAAGTAGTAGAGTGCATTGCCTATCAAGTGTAAGATTATGGGTTCGATCCCCAGTGCCACAGGAGAAAAGAGAAACAAACAAACAGTAGTCAGGGAGTTGCCATAGGTATATTTTTGCAGATGTAGTTAGCATCCAGAAACCCTTGTCTCTAAGTGAAGGAGGTTGCCCTTGATAGAGTCTGTGGATGGGCCTGGTCCAATCCCTCAAAAGGCCTCTGGAGCAAAACAGCTTCCCTTGAGAAGAAGAAATCCTGTCTCCAGTCTGCAGCATCAGGTCTGGCCTCAATTCCAGTCAGCCCTGTACATGCCAGCCTTACCAGCACTCCCTATCCCCCAATCCTGCAGTTCACTTCCTAGAAAGAAATCTCTTTCTGCTTGTTTGTTTGTTTGATTTGCAGTACTTGGGACTGAACTCAGGGCCTCATGCTTGCTAGGCAGACACTCTACCACTTGAGCCATACCCCAGCCTTCTTTCTATATGATATATATTAATAGTATACATGTAAACACAGCCTTACAATACACATGAATCTTGAAAACACACATGTCCAGAATAGGTAAATCCATAGTATCAGAAAACAGACAGTTGATGTCCCCTGGGTCAGGGCAGAGTAGGAATGAGGGTTGTGATTACTTAATGGGCTTTCCTTCTGGGGTGATTAAAATATTTGAGAACTAGACAGAGGTGATAGTTGCACAATAATATAAATAACTTAGCAATGACACTTAACTGTGCAGTTTAAAATTGTTAATTTTATGTTGTGTGAATTTTATATAAAGAGACATTTAATTAAAAATCTGTAACTTAGGTATATTATTTACCTCAATTACTGAGTTTTGGGGGACCATACCCCCACCCCTTAAATTTTAGTCTGAATTCCAAGCCTATTCCCCACATGGATCCCAGAGGGAGCTTTCTAATCCCTGCAGCTGACCCTGTTCTGGAGGCCTTGGAGGCCCCAAGGCCAACAAGCTAGAGTCTAAGAATACAGACTAGGTTCCAAGTGGTTTCCAAGCTGGCCTTTCAGGGCAAACTAAACTCCACCCTTCCTTACCTACTTGCCCTGTGCTCCACCTGGCCTCTTGCCATTCTGCCTTCCAGCTAATGACCTTCCTCCACCCCTGGGCCCTGTAAGTTCCCACTCATCCTTCAGTGTGCAGCACAGGCACTTCCTTGTTATCTCTAGAACTGACTCTGATTCAGTCTCAAACCCCTAGACCAGCCTCCCACCTGTGCCTCAACCTCTGTACTGGCCCAACATCCTACCTAGTCCTCCCCCCCACTACTCCATCTTTCCATCTGGGCCTCCCCCACCCTCTGCACTGCCCCAGCCTCCCATCTGGGCCTCTCCCACCCTCTGCACTGCCCCAGCCTCCCACCTGGGTTTCTGACCTCTCTGAACCTGCCTCCTCCCTGGAGACTCTGTTCCCACCACCTTAGGTCAGGCCCTGCCTCTCAATGGCCTTGGAAAAATCTTCCTAACTCCCAAATCTGACTCTTTTCACCATAGACACTGTTGCTCAGATGACGTAATGAACTTTGTATAGAGGGGTGGCTTCAGGCAGGGACACTCACCCAGGGGACTCAACAGAGCCACAGCTGCAGATCTCAGACCACCTCATTCTACTGCAGGACTTGGTGAATTAATCTCTCTCTCTCTCTCTCCGCCCACCCCCCCCCCAACAGTGGAAGAAATTACTCTTCTAAACGGCCAGACTTCCCCAGTTTCAGGAAATTCCAAGCTGGGCAAGGGGAGGGGCCGGGCTGGGGGCGCGCCCCCTCCCTCCCCCACAGCTATGTGCTTCTGCGAGCTGCCTGCACACCCAGTGCTGGCCTCCTCCTGCCCACTATCAGCCCAGAGGGGCCTCAGCCTTTCCACTACTGCTTTCTAGTCCTTTAAATCCTCCAGGCAGACTTTTGGGGGATAAGGAAGGCTGGGAGGGGCCTGTGGCTTAACACTCTTTGCCTGGGGACAAGAAACAGAGCTTGATTAGGCATACTGGACTGAGTCCTCTCTTGCTTGGGTTCCTACCATGGCCCCCGAGAGGGGCTGACACTTCTGTTCCCGGTGCAGGTAAACAAGGGACCCGATGCCAGATCTTCCAGGGGTGAAGCTGGACGCCTGCGTCTGAGTGAGGAGGGCTGGGGCCCGGACCCCTGTGTCTGAAGGAAGAGGGCTGGGGCTTGACCCCTGTAGGGCTGGGGTCTGAACCCATGGGTCTGAGAGAGGAGGGCTGGGGTGTGGACCCCTGGATCTGAGCCAGGAGGGCTGGGGTCTGTATCCACTAGCCTGCTGATTGAGAGCTAGTAGATAGGGCTCCTGGGACTCCAGAGTGCCAGACAAGGCCTGAGGAGGTGGCACCGCGGACCTGGAGCCTAGGTCCTGGATCCCCCTCCAGGTTTGGCAAGACACTTCCTTTGCCAGGTGAGATCCGCCCGGAGGAAGAAGGAAGAAGGAGCGGGCGGGGGACTAGGAGACGGAGGCGGACTCCAAGGCCGGGAGGGGTAGCAGCTTGAGCCAAAGCCCGAGGGCGCCCGCCCAGCTCCGTGAGGACCACGAGGTAAGGGGCGGTGGTGGGTAGGGGTCCTCTGTCCGGGCCAGAGGGAAGAGGGGCAGACGGCCAAAGAGACCGCGGCCGCTGAAGTCCGGGCAGCAGCCACGTGGCCTCAGAAAGCGCACCCTAAGGGCTCAGGGGTCTCCCAGCCGTGGCCTCGGCCCCACAGCAGCTTCCAGCCTCTCTCAGGGGTCTGAGAACCCGTCCGGCCGGATTGGAGCGTGTGGTTATTTCCGTCCTGACGGGGTTGTGGCTGTGAGAGGACAGAAGTGAACCAGCTGTGCGCCCCCCCAACCCCGCCAGGAAAGAGTGGGTGGAGGAGGCAGGCCGAGGGCCACTTACCCGAATGCGCGGCGTCAGGGCGGGCGGGGGGGTCCCCTGTGTATGCCTGCTTTCCTCCTGCTTCATCCTGGTCCCAAACAACAGTCCCTCTGTACAAGCTGGTGACGAGCTTTTTCCAAGGGTGACCGCTTTGCATCTAGTTTAACAGCCGCACTACAGGCAGATTAGAGCCTTCAGTCAGCCTTACAGCAAAAGGACACCCACGCTGGAGGAGGGGAGTGACTTGCCCAGGGTCTCAGGGCCAGCCCGGAGACTAGGTGATATTCAAATGCTCTTTTTATCTCGTTTTACTCACCTAAAATGGGAAAGAAAAACTAGTAAGGATGTAAGGAAATTCATGATCATTGTATCAAAATATGCTCTCCAGCTCCTGTAAGTGCCTTTAGCCATACGCTATCATCCTTAGGCTTCAGACTTCATCTGCCTAGGTTCCAAATCCAGGCCTTGATATTTATTCCTCTGTGACCCAGGGTGAGTTACTGAGCCTCTCTGTGTTGCATTCATCATAGGCCTATAAAAATAAATAAATAAGACAGAATTATAATCTCTTCCCCATTGGGTTGTCCTGAGGATTAAGTGAGTTAGTTCATCTGTGTGAAGCACTCAGATTTGTGCTTGGCCTAGAATAAGTGCTGAGAAATAAAATGTGAGTTGTGAGTGTTGTGAGCATGCATCATGCAGTCCCCCAGCAAACAGGCATTTTGAATTATGTTTTTCAGAGGGGTAAACTGAGATAGCTTGTTCAGGGGTCCACAAAAAGGAAGTGACAAAATATGAGCTCTATGAATGTGCTCCTAGGAGTGAGGCCATGGAAGGATAGAATGAGAGCCCAGACAGGGGCTGGGCCCAGAAAGAGGCAGCAGCAGTGAACTGTGAGGGAGGGGTGAGTTCAAAAGGCAGTGGGTAGTGGAAAGAGCCTACTCTGGACTCTGGCTTTATGTTTTTAGGCAAGTCACTCACCCCTCTGGGCATGTTTCCTCTGCTGGCACTTGAGGAGAATGATCCCAGGTGAGATTCTATTCACCTTGGAAATATCACATATTCTATTCAGTATTTATTGAACATTTGCTATTGTGCTGGGTACTGTGCTTTGACTTTCACAGGCAGCATCTCTCACCAATTCTTGCAAAAATACTATGAAGCATTATATTACTACCATCTCATTTTGCAGATGAGGAAGTAAGATCAGAAAGGTTGCATAGCTTACCCAAAGCCACATGGCAGTGGCCACAGCCAAGCTCCAAGCCTGGGCAGCTGGCTTTCTGAATTCTACCCTTTACACCTGACTCCCTGCAGAGCAAGCACTGAGATAAAGGGCACTGCTTGTGCCTACAGAGGATTTTTCAAGTTCCATTAATGAGCCAAGTTCAGCATTTAAAAATAAACTAGATTAGAATAGAAAATATCAGACTACCCACCATATTATAAGGCTAAGTCTTGTTTCATATACTGTTTGCTGTCACTGTGGGGGAGGAGAGAGTGCTATCTTGATGGTTGAAATAAAAATACATTTATTTATTCAGCTAGGTTAAGGTCAGAGAAGTTTGATCAGCATGGCAGAAATGGTATATCAAGACAGGTTTCCCCAATCTTACGACTGTAGTGTGTGTGTTTGTGTGTGTGTATTTGTGTCTGTGTGTGTGTGTTTGTATGTGTCTGTGTATGTATATTTGTGTCTGTGTGTTTGTGTGTGTGTCTCTGTGTGTGTGTGAGTGTATGTATGTAGGGCAATCTTCAGAATACATCCATCTAAATTATTTCACATCCCTGCCGGGCATTGGTGGCTCACACCTGTAATCCTGCCTGCATGGGAGGCTGAGATCTACAGGATCAAAGTTTGAGGTCAGCCCTGGAAAACAGTTCTCAAGACCCCCATCTCCAAAATAATCAGAGCAAATGGACTGGAGGTGTGGCTCAAGTGGTAGAGCACTTGCTTTGCAAATGTGAAGCCCTGAGTTCAAATGCCGGTCCCACCAAAAACCAGTCATATCCCTTTGGCTGTACTTCATGTTCAAATTATCAGTGATCCTTCCCAGGGTGCTAGTTACTAAGAGAACAATGCTGGCCACTTTGCCTTCCTTATACTGTTTTACCAAATCTAATCTTTGTTCCGCAGTTATTGTTTGGGGACACATTTTTCCCCCAACACTAGCGCTACCAATTGGCTGACACTATTAAAAATATTGTTTCCCTTAAATGAGCTTTTCTATGTGCTCTGCATGGGGAGAGAGTGTTATTTTATCCATTATACAGGCAGGAAAACAGAAAGATTAATTCATCCCGACTCATGTAGCTGGCAAAGGGTGGGGCTTTGATTGAAATAGGAAGAAGAGTTTTTATCATAATAACAGTGACTGTTACAACAAAAGTACAAAGTCATCAAAGTCCCTCCTAGAAGTTCCATAGAAAGTGGCTATATTCCAGGATCTGGGCAGAGATCGGCTGCTTTTCTATTGACCATCCAACCCTATGCAGCCATCTGGCAGTAGGGTACCTAGTTTACAATTCACAAGCTGACAGCTTCAAATGTAGGCCATGCATACCATTTTTTTTAATATAGGGGAATTTAAAATATGAGACACTATACTTTCAAAACTAGTAGCACCTTGCAAATTAGTCGTCAGACAGGTCTGCAGCTTCTGCAGTGCTTCCGTGTGTGTGTGTGTGTGTGTGTGTGTGTGTATGTGTGTGTGTGTGTGTGTGTGTGTGTGTGTCTGCCCCTCCCTCCTTTACGTCCAGCCTCGTTTTCAAAGATGGGTCCTATACTTTTATACTAGTAAACTAGTTTGTTGGGAAGCAAACTCCAAAGGATTCGTTCCTTGTTGCCTGGCCTACAAGAAAGTTCAAATATTAGTTATCAGCATAGTGCAGTGTCCATGGGCATTTTGCAGTCAGACAAACCTTATTGTGATCTGAGATTCGAGTCTACCTATTGTGACCTGGGAATCTCTCGAAGCCTCAGTTTCCCCACCTGCAAAATGGGAATGATCACACACACACACACACACACACACACACACACACACACACACCTCTTTCCCTCATCACCCTCTCCTTATCAGAGTAACCTTCAAGACAACTACATGGCTGGAAGGCGGGGCTGGGAAACAATTCTGGGCTCCCTGGTGAGGCAGCGCTAAACTGCTGGTGCCTCCACAGATGCCAGTGCTGAAGCAACTGGGCCCTGCACAGCCCAAGAAGCGTCCTGAGCGCGGCACGCTGTCCATCTCGGCGCCCCTCGGTGACTTTCGACACACGCTGCACGTGGGGCGCGGCGGCGATGCCTTCGGGGACACCTCGTTCCTGAGCCGTCACGGAGGCGGACCGCCTCCCGAACCCCGCGCACCTCCAGCGAGAGCCCCGCGCACACCGCCGCCACCCGCCATCCCTCAGCCCCCAGCGCCCGGCCTCCGCACGCCGGCACCCGCCGACCCGCTGCTGTCCTTCCACCTGGACCTGGGCCCCTCCATGCTAGACGCGGTATTGGGCGTCATGGACGCAGAGCGCGCGGAAGCCACGGTCGACAAGCCAGACGGGGATGCCCGGCCCGGGACGCAGCATTCCAGGGCCCGTTGCCGCCCTAACGCCGACCTAGAGCTGGACGAAGTCATTGGCCTGTAGCCCCGGATTCACTACCCTCTTGTCTGGCACCCCATTTCTGTACACATAAACGGCCGAGGTTTGCTCCCGAACTCAGTCTGTTTACTTTGTGCGTGAAGGCGTGAGGAGGGAGGGCAGTGGTGGGGTTCCTGCGCCTTATATAGCCAGGTGCGCAGGTGCAGTCACCTGCAGTTCCGATGAAGTCCGTGATTGACCTGGAGTAGTGAATCACCGCTCCTTTAAGAGTGGTCGGGGCGTGGCCTTTTGGTGACCCTCCCAGAGGGCGGGGTCCTGCACCTACACCGCCTCATTCATTCATCAAATATTGACCCAGCTCCACTGCTGGCAGATCTCAGTTCGTCCACCGCCAGCGGTTGTCAGCGCCAGTGGGACAGCAGAATGCTGAAGTTTGGGGAGCTAGAGCCTTCTGACCTTGCGCATCACAGGTGGACCCCGACCGCGCACAGCTGCCCTTTATTCTGGGAGCGGCCGCATAAGGAAGTGGAAGAATTTTAGAAGCACAAGGGGTGTGGTCCCTGTGGGGAGGGCTTCTTAAACATCCCCTTCCAAAGGTGGGTCGCCCGGAGGACAGCGGCAACTGCGTCCAAAGTCTGAGCACAAAGTTCAGCCTGAGGTGGCAGGTGTCCACGTTCTTTAAAAATCCCAGAAGGGCAGGGCTGCAATGGGGCGGGGCCAGGTTCTCCAAGGTTCCCAGAGGGGCGGGGCCTTTATCTGTCAGCTCTTGACTCGGGGCGGGGCCAGGAACTCTCAGGTCCCAGTAGGGCCAAACGCTTGTGGATCAGCCCGGCAAGGCACTTTAGACTCCAGAGGGGCGGGGGACAGGCATTAGCCACTTGGCAGGTGGCAGGACAAGAAATTTAAGGCTCTCCCTATAGAGGCGGGAAATATGTAAATACGTTATTTGTAGGCGGGGCCATATACACTAAGGGGCGGGGCCTGGCGTGCCCGCGCCCGCGGATCGCGGAAGGCTCCACCCAGCTAAGTTTGCGGGCGAGGTCCGGGGCAGAGCTAGGGCAGAGTGGCTGGCACCACAGTTGGATCGGGTCCTGGCACTGAACTAGTAGAGCTGCTCTCTGCGCCCTCGGCATCCATGGCGGCAGCCGAAGAACCGGGTCAGCTGTCGGAGGCTTCCGCCTCGGAGCTCTCGGCCTCGCCGCTGGCCTGCCGCTTCTTTCTGGAGGGCCGCTGCCGCTTCGGCGCCCGCTGCCGCCAGCCCCACCCCGGGGCGCCGCCGGCGCTGTCTGGCGGCGGGGCGCAGCCTGACGCCGGGGCCAAGAAGCCGCCGCTACGCACGGCCGCGGCCGTCATCCAGCGCATCCGCTGGGACCCGCGTCTCGACCCTGCCGACTTCTCTGTGGGCTACGCCGACCGCTTCCTGGGTGTGCGCGAGGAGCCCTTCACCGCCTTCTGCTGGGACGAACCGCTGGCGGCGCTGGGGCCGGGCGTCCTGGCCGTGCCGCAGCACCGCGTGCGCTACTTCCGCTTCCGCGGCCGCCTGGTGTGGGACCGTGCCTCGCGCACTGACCTCGTCTTCGGCTCGGGCTCGACCGCTGGCCGGGGCCCTACTATCCTGGACGCGCTGGACGACGGGGACGCCCACGGCGTCGATGACGAGCTGGACGACGGGGTCGCGCACGACATCGAGGACGAGCTGGGAAATGGAGATGAGCATGGCAGCGGGGGCGCGCACGGCCACGAGAACGAGCCGGAAGGCGGGAACGCGCACTGGCCAGAGGTTGCCCTAGGGAACCTAGGCACCCAGAGGACAAGAGATGTTCCAGAGGGGAGGGTGACTCAGGCTGCTACTAGAAGAGAGACCAGTGGAAAGCCGGCCGGGACTGGGCTCAGGGAGTTGGGCCCGAGAGAGCATGAGGTGGTTGAACAGACAGAGGTGAGCAGGGCCACCAACTCTAGAACAAAAGCCCCTAGGGAACACCTCCAAGGAGAGAGAGAGAGGGCCTTGAAACCAAGGCAGGCCCCTGGAGTCAAGGAGCTGTCACTGAGGCAGGGGCAGGCCCTGGCACCCCAGGGACCATCCACTGGAGAGATGGAAGAAGAGTGGGGTCCAGAGGGGTGGCCTCAGGACACTGAAAAAGCATTGCTAGATAGAACTGTAGCTCCTCGCCAGCCCCGGCCCACACATTTTGTGGCCCTCATGGTGACTGAGCCGGCGCTTCAGGCAGAAGTGACCAAGGCTCAGGAGTACCTGGCCCAAATTGCCCCATTCTGTGCTGCGTTCCTGGTGCCCACACAAGACCTGCACCTGACACTTGCCCTGCTGCGGCTGGCAGGCCCCGGGGAGGAGGCAGCTGCAGTCCCTGCCCTGAGGCGGGTCCTCTCTGCCCCAGGGCTTCAAGCACCCCCTCTGCTGCAGTTTAAAGACCTAGTTCTCTTGGGCCACCATGTGCTCTGTGCCCCACCATCCCCCACACTGGCAGGCATGGCCCAGACTTTGAGCCAGAGACTGGAGGCTGAGGGACTGAGAGTGGTAAGGCCCCAGGTGGGATGCAGCCCCACCTCACCCTGGCCAAGGTGCCCCATGGCTCCCAAGTCCACCTTCCAGAGCCTGGGATCAGCCTGAACCATGAGATGGGGAGCCAGCCCCTGGGAAGACTATGGCTGTGCCGCATGGGGAAAGCAGGGAGCACCTACCAGTCCCTGGCTGAGGTCCCCCTGGGCTGAAAAAGGATCCAACAACCGGGGGTGAAGGGACTGGGGGGGGATACAAACCAAGCAGAAAGGACAACATGCTCTTTCTCTCTCTCTTTAATTTTGGTTTCTCTCAAGCTTCCAAAATGGTGCTCAGTGCTCCAAGGAAAGAATGAAGGAAGGGAAGGGAAGGGAAGAGGAGGGGAGGGGAGGCAGAGGAGGGACATCTGGAAAAAAAGCAGCCTGACAGTCCAGCTGTTTGCAAACTCATAGCACATCCTCCAGTTACATGGCAGAAGAGGGAGGGAGGACGGAAAAGAAAAGGGGAGGAAGAAAAAAATAACTTAAACACACACACAAAGAAAAGAGGAAACATGACGTGAGCTGGTGATCCATGAAGGCAGGGAGGGAGGAAGGGTAATCATTTTACCTGTGCTGAGCCAGGGAGGGCTAGGGAGCAGGAAGAGGAGGGAGGGGAAGGAAAAAAAATCAGAAGAAACATTGGGGCAGAGGGAGGAGGGACATGGAGACAACTTAATACAACTTGAGACGAGGCGGCCCGGCCGGCGAGGTCCCGCGATGGCCTCGGAGTCCTCAGTGCAGGGTGGTGCGCTGGTCTGGCGGTGATGGTGATGATGCTGGCGGTGTTGGCATTTCTGGGGTGGGGGGCCAAGGGCGGGGCACAGTCTCTAAGCAGCTCCCCTCACCCCCAAACACTGAGGCCCCGAGGGCTGGGCAACAAAAGTCTATGAAGAGGCAGATGAAGCAGCAGGTGTGGCTGGTTGGCTGGTGCCCTGCTGCAGGCTGGCGCGGGCTGGATGGCCTGTCTTCTTTCCACTGGCCCCCCAGCATGGGATGGACCAGAGCGCCGGTTCGGGTGCCGGAGTACGAGCTCGAGAGAGAGAAAGAAAAAACACTGAGACAGCATTAGTGGAGGTGAGAGGTGGACACAGAGCCTGCAGCCCCCACCCCCCTCCGCCGCCCGCCCTCCTCCCAACCATCCCTCTGAGGCAAAAAATAAAAATGTAGAAAAATCTCTGTACAGACTGCCCGCTAGGAAATGTGGGCAGGGACGGTGGCTCTTCCTGGAGCCCACTTCCCACAAATTAATTTACAACCCAAGTCCATGGCTCAAAACAAAATCCGCAAATGCGGTGCCGGGGGCCACAGCCCTGCCCCCACCCCGTGCTGGCTGGGTGCTCAGAAGGCTGGCAGCTGCGCCAGGCTGAGGCGGCAGTCCACGCTGGAGTTGTCCGGGCCCGTGTAGGCCAGGCCCAGGGGCTCTAGGAAGGCCCGGCAGGCGGCCTCGCCCTCGAAGGCCAGCTCGGCCTGCAGGTAGGATACTGGCAGCGCAGGGCGGAAGCTATGGAGACAAGAGGAGAAAGTGATGAAGCGGGCAGTGGGCAGGGGAGGGCCCCATGAGCAGGGAGCGGGTGCCCCCTCCTCGGGAACCCACAGGGTTTCCTCAGCATGGCACCTGCTGATTCCTGCAGTCCCTCCCAACCTCAGGGGCTTGGGGGGGCCCCGGGGTGGGGTTGGTGGCCCCGTGCCCGGTTGTGCCCCCCCTCACCCTCACTTACCTGTCCAGGAAGGAGGGGACAGAAGGGGAAGGGCCCAGCTGGCTCCTCCACTGGCTGAGGGGCAGAAGCCAGTAGGAGGAAGCAGCATGGGCAGATGAGAGGGCTCATGGCACTACCTGGGGAAGCCCGAGCCCAGGCTTCCACAGACTATCAGTCAGTGCAGTGATTCCTGGATGCTACTGATGCCCTACACATTACACACACTCACACATGCCAGGCCAACAACTGTCCAGAGCTTCCGGCTAACCCAGGGGACCCTCTCCTGCAGCATGTGTCACTGTCCTTTAGATACTCAGGAAGCTGCACCAAGCTGAACCAATTCTACCTACAAACCCAAGTTTCCTGCAGCCCTGGAGTAGGACAGCCTGCTCATCAACCAAGCTGTTCTCCCAGTTCCTACATGGATAGGGGTCCAGGTCTTAGGATGGATTTGTCTGTCACAGAAGGCCTTGCCAACTGACTCCACATGGGGATTCATGAGGTCAAAGGTGGGCCTACCTACCTCACTAGGGCCATTCACAGTTGTGCTGCCACCAATGCCAACTACATATAAACAAGGGAAGGGTCACTTACCCAACCACACAATCTGTGTAGCACTGAGGCTCATGGTTGACCTGCAAGGGGCCTATTAGGCTGCAGAGGTCTGAGCGGCCCTGCTGCCTCCTCACCCTACCCAGCTAGTAATCAAGTCCCAAGCACTGTGTTCTGTGTCATCTTCTGCCCCATGGCCCTACTTCTCCCTTAAGTTGGCTTGACCAAAACAAGATTCTAGGGAGTGTCTCAACCTTCAGGCTGATGGTCCCTCCCCAGCTGCATACCATCCTGGGACTCCCTATTTAACCTTCCTAAGAAAAGAAGGCTACTGTCCTGGCCTTCAAAGCCCTTCAGACCTCCTGACGGACCTCTTGACCAGGGTTTCTCGACCTGGAGCCAGATGGCTGTTGTGGGGCTGGACACTGAGTAGCATCCCTAGCCTCTATCCTCTAGAGGCCAGTAGCATCCCCCCTCAGCCTGACAACCAAAAATGTCTCCTGGAGGCATTTCAACTTGACTGAACTGTGGGTCCAAGTGTGAGTCAAGCACCTCTTCCTTACCCACAATGAGTCATACTGTGGTAGACAAAGAACCTTCTAGCACCATTCCAGTGTGGCTAGCCTGTCACACTGTCCCTATCCATTTCTGGGACTCTCAGAAGAGCTCAATGGGCACTGGCCCTTGTCTCATGAGACAGAAGCTGCAATAGGGCCCATCCTCTCTAGTCTGTCTAGAATAGGAGCAGCGAGGAGCTGCAACAGGTAGGCAGAGGCCCCAGGGGGAGCGCAAAAAGCCTGGAGAGAAGTGAAGATAAACCAGGTCCGGCTTATGTTAAATAGACAAAAGAGAAGAACAGGGTAGGAAGGGAACACCAGGAATATCGAGGTTAAGAATGGTAGTCAGAGGGACCCGGAACTGAGGGTGACTGAGGAGGAAAGCAAGGGGTGAGGGGGAGTGTAGAAAGGAGGAGGAGAAGAAGACTCAAGTGCAGGAGCAGGACAAGGCTGCCCAGCCAGGAGCACATGGAGGGGTGAGGCGTGGCAGGGCCACAGCAGAGGGCAGCAGAACACAGTGCCACATACGTTTTGATCATTGCCTTGAGGGCAGCCTTGCGCTCCCGGTCTGCAAACTTGTCCACAAGGTAGCCAGACATGCAGGGCGCGTGGCAATACAGCCGGAAGAAACGGTGGTAGTTGCCCAGGGCCCAGGCTGCCCGCAGTGCCAGCGCGTGGGCCACGCAAGGGTCTGCCTTCAGCTCCCTCGTGAGGTATGCCAGCTCTGTGGTAATGTCTGTACCCAAGACAAATGGAGGTCAGAGAGCAGGGCAACCCTGAGGTACAGTGCCCTAAACTATGGGCTGGTAACTCACCTCCCGAATTCTTGGTGAAAATGTAATAGAGGATCCGGTAGGCAGTAAACTCGCCAACATTGCCTGGCAAGTTCTCTGCATACAGCGACTTGAGCTGTGTCTGGCACTGGTTGAACTCTTCATGGTCACCCTGAGGGCAGGGAAAGGAAGCAGAGGAGCAGTGAGACCCAGACAGGTGCAGGCAGCTGCAGGACAGCAGCAGAGGAGGGAGCAGGAGACACCCATCACAATGGCTACCTACCTTCTCCAAGGCAATGCGGGCATGGGTCTCATACACCTCCACAGTGAACTCAGTGCGGACACCTTGCACCTGCAGTGAGAAGAAAACAGAGTCAAATGGAGCAGACCAGGGCAGGACAACCAGTGCCAGGGTCCCACCCAGTGTCCACCTCACCGTCAGGTCCTGCCGGATGGACTTCATCTGCTCACAGGCAAAGGCATAGTCCTGCTTCTCCTTCCAGTGGGACTTGACCATGCACAATGACTTTTTCAAAACCTGGCAGGAAATCAAGGCTTAGAGCGCAGCTTAGACAGTACAGCAGACATGCTAAAGTTAGCACTCTTAGCCTCCCTAACTGCTTTCCCTGTAGCTACTGGCTCAGGCCACAGGGCTGAGAGAAAGCTATGCTCTCCCTGGTGCCCAGGAAGGAGAAAGGCTCAGGAAGGCCCAGCAATCCCCCTCCAAGGCTGTACGTTCTCCACAGCAGGGCTAGAGGAATAGGTCTACATCCTACAACCCTCCCCTTGTCATGTCAGCTCCCAGGACTTCCTGCCAGCACCTCATGGGGCACACCCGCCCTGTTTGGAACTTACTGCCACAGGGCGCACAGTGGACGGATCAGGGGCACAGGTGAGACGCAGGTAGTGCTTGGTGATGTCAGGGCAGGTGCCCACAATCTGCAGCTCCTGCCAATCAGGGTCAGTCCCACTGCTCTCCAGGCTGCTCATCTGCAGCACCAGGGGTTCGAGGCGCAGGCGGCGGGAATGGCCATGCTGAAAGCGGGCTGCCCGCTTCTGCTTTTTCAGTTCACGCTCAGGGTCCTCACATTCCAGAGCTGCCATTTTCTTGCGGCTGCGCTTGTTGGGAGCTAGATCGTGCCTAGGAAGGGACAGGGGTGAAGGAAGGACAAAGGAATGTGGCCTCCAGACACACTGTGGCCTTAGCTACCCAGTCCTACCGTCCACCTGTACAGGCCTCCAGTAGGCTCTGATACCCTCCACCCAGGACTGTGGCAGAGCCCCACCTAGTCTCACCTTTTCCCGCGCTGCGCCCTGCCTCGGCCCCGATCCATGTGGGCCCCCCGGCCACCCCGGCCCTTAGGGGGTGGGTTCCTGCGGCCCACAGGGTGACATTCGTTCCCTGAGTAGGAGCTGTCGGAGTCCGAGTGAGAGTCACTGCACAAGGACAGGAGAAGGTCAGGCCTCAAGCAGCCCCTCCCAGGCACCCTTCAGCCCAGGCTGCCAGCCGCCTTTCTACCTTCTCCGGAAGTGGCGAGTGGGGGACCTGGAGGAGGAGCGGGAGCGGGAATCCGTGCTGGAGGAAGAGCTGTTGTCCTTCATGAAGACGTTGCGGTTGCCGAACTTGGCGAAGCTGCTACCCCGGGCTCGGCCAGCACCCCCAGCCCCTGGCGTCCCTCGCTGGGACTGGGCACCCCCGCCCCTGGTCACCGAGCCTGCCCCCCTGGGAGGGTGAAGGCTGCTAGGGGCCTCCCACCGCTTCTTCTTGGGGCTCTCAGCCACAGGCTCCCTGGTCAGCCTGAAGATATAGCAGGGTAGGGCATTACCAACCCGCCGCCAACCTATAGGACCGCAGACCCCATTCCACTGCCCAGCGCCAACCAGACGTCAGACAGAAAGCACTTACCCCGGCAACTCAGCTACTGTAGTGCAGGAAAGGGAGCAAGCCCAGGGTTCTCTGTGTCCAGGGGATGCTCTCAGCCACCAAGCCACCCACACTCCAGAGCCCACAGCCCAATTCTACCTATAACCCCAACCTCGGCCGCCACTCCTGGGCCTGTACCCCAACCCATAGGGCTCTCCAACCCAGGACTTCAGGCCTGAATTCAGCTTTCTAGCTCATTTCTCTCTGGAGCTTCTGGTTCCTGGGGTCCAGGTCCCCAGTCAAGTGCCCTGCAGTCCCACCATCTCACAATATCACCTAAACTGACCCAGGTAGAGGCTCACGACTCCAGTCGATGGTGTAGGCCGAGCCGTCCTGTAGCCGGGCCTGCAGCACCTCCTTGAGCAGTTTCTCTGTCCGATCCTTGTCTTCCTCTGACTCACAGGCAGTGAAGCATCGCTCCACATACTCTTTCATGTCCTGTGGCCAATCGTCAGGCTTCCCGGATAGGTTCCCCCGGGCTGAAGGTCCACTGTGGGGGTTTAGGGCAGAGATAACCCTTAGCTGGGAAGATTCCATGCCCAAGCAGAGACCTTCCTACAACCACCCTGAGTGAAACCCCTGCAGAACCAATCAAAGTGTTTCCTTCCCCCTCAGTGCTTATGTCGGCTCCAGGAAATGAAACATGCCCACTCTGGAGGAACAATCTGAGCTCAGAGTGAGGAGCCCACTGGTGGGGCTGGAGCAGATACCTAGCACATAGCAAGTATGGAGTAGGTGAGAAAGGGGGATCGTCGTCACCTGTGGTTCTGGGCTTTCTCAGGGTTGGGCTGGGGGCCAAAGCTGCTATGCTGACCCTCTGTGCTGGAGCCAAAGCTCTGGCTGGTGACAGCAAAGGGCCTCTTCTGAATGTTGAACTTGAGACCTCCAGTTCCAGGGGCTGCTGTATGAGAGCAGCAAACGCAGGGGTTAGGCCCTTCCCACACACTGGGGGCTCCCATGGAATGTAGTATGAAAGTTCCGAGGGCAGAAGGAATCAGGGATCCTGTAGCACGAGAGGCCAAGCTCCAGAGCAGGGCCTGCAAGCACACCTGTTCCAAAGCAGCCCACTCGGGACCACTACAACACCCAGACACAGATCAGTGCCGTGCATCTCACACTTCATAGCTCTGTTAAAGATCCTCAACCTCCCAGCCCTGCTACACCCCACAGAGCTGCCAACTCACGCTTCATACGGGTCCACAGCTGTTGGCCCTTCTTGGGCTTGGCAGGCTCACTGTAGGTGTGTGGCCCATAGGCCTGGCCTGTGGGAGGCCCCGCCTGGCTGTGCTGGGTGGCTGGGGCTGTTCCAGGTTGAGGACCATTGCTCAGAGCGTGGGCTCCATGCTGGGGGTTGGAGGGCTGAGGAGGCTGAGCCGCTGGTAGCTGCTGAGGCGAGGCCTGGTAGGTCATGCTCTCATCCATGCCAGGGACCGGGGGCTGCAGGAGGAAGCAGGCACTGAGGAAAGGAGGCAGAGTCCTAGTGCTAGCTGTCATAGCACCTGGTTCTTGCTGACACCTTACTCAACTCTCAGCTCTGCCATGACTTTCCAGGTTGCCATTCTGTCCTCAGTGACTCCTGTGGCTAAGGCTGTACTAGCAACCCTATCTGTAGCCATCTGTGGGACTCAGGGAGACTGAGCAAGTTCCCATGGTAGAGCGGTCAAGCGGCAGCTGCCAGCATTTCACCACCAGGAGTCTGGCTCTACTTCACTAACAGCCATTCTGAGAGTACCACCCGCTATGGCTCTCTCCCAGTGTGACCACACGCTCACAGGAAGCCCACAGCTGAGTAAGGTGCACAGGGCACATGACTCTGAGAATTACACAGGGTGTGTGAGCTGGGATTCAAACCCAGGTCAATCCACCTCCCATGCACTAGGCCCCACCTACCCCCAAGCTGCACATTAAATGCAAAGCCAGAATGCTCCTGTGTTTTTGTGTGCACAGGGGAGTTGCACATGCTGGAGAAGAATAGAGAAGACAGGATGCCACACCTCAGCTCTCTCTCTCTCTCTCTCGGCATCTTCCCAGTACTATAGCCATAGCCTTGCCTAAGCCTAAGCCCACCCTGGCTTTAAAAACAATGTTTGCTCTGTCATTCTTAGATCCAGGAATGGTGTGGCAGGAAGAAAAATGGGGGGGTGTGGTGGGGGAAGCAGCTTTTGAAATAGCCTAAGTGATTCCTCATTGCTAGTCCCTTAATATCTAGATCCTGCTCCCACCTGACAGGGAAGTTGTAGGCACAGTGTTACCTGGTTCAGAGTCCCTTGATGCTGGGGAGCCGACGGCTGTTGGGCTGTGGCTGAGCCGTAGGAGCCAGCCATCCCGTACTGGGTAGGAGAGCCATAGCTCTGGTACATGCTCTGCCAAAGGCAACAGGAGGAGCTGGGGTTAGTGGCAAGCCACCCTCACCCCTTTCTGCCTGCTCTGAGTTGTGCACAATCCTGGACTCCTACAGATCCCTCACCCTTTTTCTCTCCAGCATATAAATGTACCAAATCATGTATGTAAATGACAGCAAGAAAAAGCTGTATTAACCCTACATCCCACCTATGCTAGCTCCCAGAAATCTCTATTCAACAAATGCCAAGTACCAATTTTCTAACCACTACCATAGAGCAAAATACAAAAACCTTAATGATGTCTGCACTAGATAAATACACAGCTGTAGGCAGAAATGTGTAACATATTCTGCAGTAAGTACCATGAAAGAAAATGAGGCAAAGAAGAGGAACAGAGATTGGAAGGAGACTTTTAAGAACAGTCTGGCAGTGAGAGGCTCTCAAAGGTGCTATCTAAGCAGAGACCAACTAGATTAAGGTGGGGACCCAAGAAGCAGAGAGCTGCGCAGAAAAAAGCACAAGTGGGCTTCACATGCACTAATGTCACAGAGGTCTGGAAGCAATGCCAAGATGAGCATAAGGAGGGAAAGGGGCAGGACCTTGGGGTAATGAGCCAGCAGAGGGATTCTCAACCTCACCTAGGCTGTCTCCATCTCATTACCCACTTCTCACTCTCCAGCCAGGCACTCACCATAGGGTAGTAGTAGCTGTAGGGGTAAGCATAGTTGTACTGCTGGTACCACTGGTAGTACTGCTGCTGCTGCAAAGCCGAGGCTTCTGCCTGAGACACATACTTGGGAAACAGAGGCCCGACTGTTAAGCAATGACAGCAGGAGCCATGGACACAACCCCAGGAAGACAGCCTCTCCACTAGAGGGTAGCCAACCACCAAGGGAGGGCACCAGTCCATGTCTCTGAAAAGAGAGCTTGTCTCTACTGTTAGACCAGGCACACCAAATATAGGCCCAGCCTCCCCTTCAGGACCACATCACTCACACCCTGGCTGACTCAATGAAAACACCACATCCCTCATCACGTTCAGATAACAGAAAACATCTGTTTACACTCCCCCTCAGGGCATCTGTCCTATGGATGCCAGGACACCAAGCTGAGTCCCTCCCACAGCAAATACCCCACCCCCATCCCACAGAGTTCCCAGGCCCCATGTGGCTTTCTCACTTGTGCACTGGCCACAGGACCACTGCTGCTGGCCTTAGAGCTGCCAGCAGCTCCCGCTTTGCTGATGCTGGCCAGGGCCTGGCGGGCCTTCTCCCACTCCGGGTTCTCGTGCATGGGGGTCTCCATGCCATTCTCTCTGCCAGTCCCAGCCACCATGCTGTACTGAGAGGACCTGCAGATAAGACAAGGAATCAGTCTGTTCTCCCACTGCATGCAGGTAGGCAAGGTGGCAAGAGGCAAATATCAGGCCCTGAGCCCCAGATCTAAGCTACCTACCTATGTCAGCCTAAGGTTTCTAATTGTGCTATGTTGATAACTGGTTTCTGAAATGGACAAATGAGGCTGTCTACTTAAGGTACCTACCCTGGTACCTGGAGTACAGAAAGTGTTGAACTGTGACCAGTATGCACAAAACCTTACACAAGACATAGCACTCAGTAGGTCTCTGTGTTTTATGATACAATGAATCCTAATACTATCTTCTTTGAAAAAAACAATGAATTAGCAGAAAGACAAAAACTGAGCACTAGTGGAGGCTGCTTTCTAATTATAGTTGCTTGAGTCATCACAATTTTCTGAAATAAACATACAATGTGAAAAATGAAAGGTCAGAGAAGAAGATTTGCCCCTCTCCACACTACAACCAAACTTGTGGGCTGTGGTCCCACCCACCAGCCCTGGAACAGATCACTTCCCCCTAGGCTGCGTGAGGTCCCTTACAGAGGACACAACTGTGTCTTGTTTCCTCTTTCCCTCCCCAGGGCACACCCCACTAACCAATCTGTACTGCGCTGATCACCCACATTGGCCGCCATCTGGACCTTGGGGCGTAAGGAGTGGACTTCGGGAGCCAGACTGCTTTTTCACTACCTATAACAAAAAGAATGAGTTAGCGAGACTCAAAGATGAAAAGTAGGTGTACCCATAAGAAGACAAGCAGGAAAAGGACAGTCTGAGGCACAAAGAGACATTGCTAAAGAATCTGAAGAAAAACGAAGTGAACACATGCCTGTAATCCCAGTACTGAGTTGGCTGACGCAGGGGGATTATAAATTTGATCTTACCCTAGAGTACACAGTAACAGACACCCTACCTCAAAAAAGAAAAAGGAGTCTGAAGAGAATTCTGTAGAAGAGAATCCTGGGTGTGGAATAAAGAGGCTGAAGTGGAAGGGAAGACCTCCCTGTAATGCTCCAAGTGAAAAACGATTTAAAAACAAGAGAAGGGTCTGAAACCTATATGAGGAAAAGTGGGTGTAATGGAAACCCTGAGTAAGGCTAGGATTGGTTCAGAGGGTGGATGGAGGCCTCAGTCATGGGCAAGTCTCTCTAGAGACCTGGCAGGAGGACAGTGCTCCAATGGGTTAAGTCTGAAAGAGTCCTTATGGCTGTGAAGCTTATAAAGAGGAAAGCTTTTTGGAGCACTTATGAGGAGGGAGGAGCTGAGATTGGGGGAACACTGGAGAAAGGAGGAAAAGTTAAAGAGGAAAGGGAAATTTCTGGAAGTTCCCCTGAGGGGCAGGCAGAAAGCAAGAGGTCATTCCCCATGTGAAGATCCAGATTCCCAAAAAGCACCTAAGGGAATGTCTGCAAAAAAAAAAATCCCCGCAGGTAGAGAAGAAATTCAATGGGAGATTCCTAGAAGCAGGGGTAGTCTTGGGAGAGGCATTAGGCAATTCCCTTGGTTCTGCACCTAGAGATAAAGCTTTGGGGACGCCTAGGGAAAACCCAAAACACCTTCAACAAATTATTAAAGATGGGGTGAAAAAACTGAAAGAAAAGTGAAGAGCTCTGTTGGAGGCAAGGGCTAAAATAAGGGGTCTAAACTTCTGGAAGCGCTTACGGCGAAGTCGGGGTGAATCCCATAGGAGAACCCGGAAGTCCTGGCAGAAGAGCAGGAGTCTGGGGCTGGAAAAACCCCTGGAGAGAAAACCGCCTTAAAGAGGGCGCAGCACTGAGGGGAAGCAAGGGCTCACGAGTGGGGTCACAAGTAGGGGAGTCTCCGGACAAGATGGAGATTTGGGAATCTTAAGTCACATTCCTGGTTCCTCCTAGCGTCTGAAAAACCAGACCATCCCGTAGGCCGAGAGAAGGCAAAAGAGGTAGCCGGCATTCCCACGACTGATCCCGCAGCCACTACCGGAGCCGCGTAGTACCCACGCCCCACGCCCCAGGAAGGAAGCTGCGCTGGGTCGCCCAGGGCAACGCCGACGCCCGGAGAACGGCAGGTCAATGGGGTTGGGGGCGAGAGGGCTCACGAGGCCACGGAGTTCCGAGGAAAGCTTGGGCGGGGGGGGGGGG